TTACAAAATCAACGTTAAACATGCTTGAATATACTAATGTAGTAAAAGTTAATATTCGCCTAAAAGTTTAAATCATAGCTTATGTATTACACACTTGAGACACGGTTACATGTACTAAGAATTATTACTGTGTGGCTTATTCAGAAAAACTACTACGTGTACAGGTTGAAATCACAGCTTATTAGCAATTATACCGGTAATAATAATTTTTTATGCAAACATTTGAAATGCAATGCATTACTAGTCCAAGTATATAACCTTTAAGACAGAGATATTTTTGTTCGCAAACGTTTAAAAAATACTAGTTTTGCACTATTTACATAATGAGCGACATACGCAAAAACATGAAAATATAGTAAACTATTTATACCAATGTAGTAAAAGTTAATATTCGCCTAAAAGTATTAAATCATAGCTTATGTATTACACACTTGAGAGACGGATACATGTACTAAGCATAGTTATTGAGTGACTTATTCAGAAAAACTACTACGTGTACAGGTTGAAATTAATCACAGCTTAATTATTAGCAATACCGATAATAAATTTTTTTTTTATCTAAACACTTGAAATGCAATGCATTACTAGTCCAAGTATAACCTTCATAAGACAGAGATATTTTTGTTCGCAAACGTTTAAAAATGACTAGTTTTATGCACTATTTACACAATGAGCGACATACACAAAAACATGAAATTACAGTAAACTATTTATATACAACTTTTTATATACAAAATCACTGTTAAAAATATATTAAAGTTTTCTTCTGTTTAATGTTAAAAATGGGTTCCAAATAGGCAACATTTGCGTGACTACAATTTTCCCCAAAACAGCATTTACAAGTTACATTGTAGGCGTATGAGTTTCCTCTTAATGGCTTCGACCTGCTTGATATCGTTTTCTACTGCAACACAATTTCTCTTCAATCTCATTGCGGCTGTTATCCCCGTACCTGTAAAAATAGATTTCACTATTTATTAAAAGAAGTTTTTTTCTGAAAAAATGTATTGTAACATTGCACTCTTAAAACCAAATTTCTATTAATTGGAAATTGAGATTCCATATTATCGTCTTTTAAAAGAAGTAGCATGCACAAGTAAGTAAACGAAAGCCATATGATAATTTACTCTTGGATTAGACAGAATGACTTCGTTTCTTCCTTCCCTTCTTTATAACATTATATGGTGAGCAATACACTTATATACATCTCCCAGAGCAAGCATCGATCACGGTGTCGTTCTCATGACTATACGCTTCTATTACTGCTGCGTAGAGGTATTCTGGTTGCTGTTCTGCGTTGACAATGTCTCGATCCGTCTTCGTCTCTCTCTGGTCTCTCTACCATGTCTGCTAAAAAACATTCCCAGGTTGCTGCACCTTTCCTGCTCCGCTGTATGCCACTGGCCAACCACTATATGCTGGAGCATATTCGTGAGGCTTTGCTTTCCGTAAAATAAAATAAAATAGCAATTAAGTTTCTATTGTTTGTACTCGGGGTTAGGTTTGTTACTATCGGTCTTACTATACACAATAAACAAATCATAGAATTTGTTATGGACTATCTAAAGAGCTGGTTCAAAGCTGTATTAGAGCTGCTGCTATCTATATTTTGTTATTAACACAACTTTGAACTTTGCCGAATCGTTGCAATCAGTAACGATGTCCTAACATCATCCTATGACGATACCGTACGTATATTTTTGGTAATTAATTAAACTATTCGTGCTTCCATAAACTGCCATAAAATTTGCAGATACCATAGCTAAGCGATGTGTTTATAGGTATCTAGAATTTTAGAAATGTATCTCAATTCGTTCGCGAGATATGAGAGTTAATACACTTAGCGCAATAGCGTATGCGCGGGGGGGGGGGGTTAACAGCTGTATACAATGCAAACATTCGCGGTTCGAACATTTAATCATCTGTAATTCACTTCTAAGGAATATCTACATTGGGCACCCCCTCTAATATTTATAGTACTACCATAGGCTACAACTGTGCCAAGTTTGATGCTTTTGTCCGCTCTGTAACGATCATGAAGCTAAGGGACCTGTCTAAATTAAAGTGTTTACAATCATAATTGCATTGAATAACCGAGTTGACGATCAGCGCCGCTCTGCGGATTAGTTCTGCCGTACCCATAATAATCCTGTAATCTTCTCTTGGGTTCATCTCGTAATACTAATACTCTAATTATAGATGTCTGCCCCCTTCCCAAAAATACATCTACAATACATTTACAACCACCAATTAATTAATAAATCACTAAAATAATCAGTAGTGTACTCGTAGCTCAACGCACACACTGCAGCGAGTTTGTAATGATTATATATACACACACACGCCATGAATCACAATTTAGTTGGCCACACGATTTCTACAAAGATAACTAAACTATACATTTGCTAATATTAAGTACGGCAATTGCAGGTGGCACCACCATACTACGCACACGACTGACAACCAAATTAGGAAAACCCTCCACTGCGAGTGATTTACTTTCCTACTGGAAACGCTAGGCTTAAAATAATATACAAGACATGTAATGGGAAATCTTTACAAATTCCAATCTACAAGAAACCTACGATAATACATCGTGTCGAAATTATCTCACTTTTCATAACTGCAGATACCGTTATATTGAAACAGAGGATGACTTTGCTATAAGGTACGTATTAGAAAAGCAATCATCCATATATATATATATATATCTCTCATACAAAAAATTTATTCTTTGCTTAAAGTACATGTCATATCGATAGTTTTTCAACATGTTTTGCTGTCAGAATATCTCACCTTTTACTGGTAATAATGGAATATCTCAACGTTGGTAAAGCGTTTCTAATAAAGTTTCGGTGTGTGTGTGTGTGTGTGTGCGTGTGTATGTGTGTGTGTGTGTGTGTGCGTGCGTGCGTGCGTGCGTGCGTGCGGTGTGTATGTGTGTGTGTGTGTGTGGTGTGTGTGTGTGGTGTGTGGTTTATGTGTGTGTGGTGGTGTGTGTGTGTGTGTGTGTGTGTGTGTGTGTATGTGTGTGTGTGTGTGTATGTGGGTCTGTCTGTGGTGTGTGTGTTGTGTGTGTGATGTGTGTTGTGTGTGTGTGTGTGTGTGTGTGTGTGTGTGTGGCATGTGTGCGTGTGCGTGTTGGTGTGTGTGTGGTGTGTGTGTGTGTGTGTGTGTGTGTGTGTGTGTTAATACACTTAGGTGGAATTGAACGTTTTAACAATCCCCATCTAGATAATGCACTCCTCTATTTATTACGTAATCCAAAGATTTTCTCACAATTATATGGAATAAACTAACATCAGCAATTTATTATATACGCAAGCTCTTCTATTACGGTACTATAGAAGGTTAGTTTGCACTGACGACAATATACCTGTAGGTAGTTCAGATTGTTACCCCGGAAATAAACTTCAGCCGAGACTGCGTCACTTCTGTTGATAAATATCCCGTCGAACGCATTGTCATCAAATCGGCGAAGGTATCGATTGTCCTAGAAAGCCATGTCGGAATGTTAGGTATACAGACATTGTGCAGAAACAACACGTGCGAATCGACGTCGTAAAACTTGCATTCATATATATACTATAAAGAGACTTGTAATTATTTATCTGTCATCGCGATTATGTTTTTTTATGGAATGGATTGAACGTGTAACGTGGGATCTGTAAGATGCCTATAGATCTAATAAAATATAATATCATCACGACTAGTTTCTAGTACATATCTTATAGGATATTATAAGAACATATCTAATAAAACGTTTTAAAAAAGACACGCACGCTTAATAAATTTAGACTAGATACCTCTATGTATAGCGCCTGAAGCGACGGCAAGTTCACAAATGCCCGCGGTTTTATCGCTATCAACAGAAGCATCTTTCTGATGAAGAGATCCGTCAACGCCCACAAGTCGCCGAAGCGTTGCGACGGGAGCTCAGCTACAGTAAAAACCCACGTATAAGAACCTAGATTTTAAGAACCTGTTAGGCTAAAATTTCCCATTTAGACCCCCTTACATAAGAACCAGTTTTAGGCCAAGATTTTAAAGTAGGTTCGTAATTTTCCATGCAGATGAAGACTTAAAAGGAAACACAAGTAAAATAAAAAAAATGAGCTCAACAATATCGATGAATGTGCCAGCACCCTAGCTGGCATTGTTATTGAGACACAGTACTGCATTATTTACATATATCTGCAAATGTAAAATATTATCAAACAAGGATACAAGCGTCTCTTCAGTGAAACATAGTTCTTGTCAGCACATGAGAAATAAGCAGATGTATTGTTTCCACACTACAGTACTGTATGCCCATTCAGAATCCAATAGACCAGCAGATGTATTGTTTGTTGAATAAAAACAATCACAGAGCTGTGTTGAATGCTGGTTAGCACTTTCTAATGTCACTAATACTGAGTTCTTCAGCAAATTCTTTGGTTTGAAGTTTCCTTGTGTACCTCTTCAAGTAACCCCTATCTCCAACCAACCTATAGTCAACAGGGATCTCAAGGCCCTTCCCTTGGCCAGCATTGTAGCGATTGCCAATACATTCTGCCTCAATTTCCCCATAATCGTCTAGGAATTTGTAAAATAACTTGGAAAGTTTAATTGGGACATGTCTGACCATTTCACCATCTTGATTCTTCACAGCAACTGCATATTTGTCGTTGTCATTGTCTCTTTCAATTTCACACATCATGATCTTCCCAACACAAACGGTTACAGCCTTGAAATATGCATGATAACCACAGATGCTTGACTCAACATACACCTTGTGCTCCCCTGCCATGTCTAAGCTTGGATGTTTTGGATGAAGCGTTGAAGTAAGTGAAGTTTCAAGATGAAACGTGAGCTCTAAAAAAGTACTAGCTTATACATATTAAAAGTAGAAACAAGAACCTATTTAAGAATCTTTTGAGCCTAATTTTTCAGTAAGCACCATTTATATAAGAACCTATTGAGGCTAACTTGGAAAAATCCAGGTTCTTATACGCGGGTTTTTACTGTATCGGATTCTGACTAATCTCTAGCGTCTCCAGCCGCGGCAGCGCTCTCAGGCTCGGCAAGAAGTCGTCGACGCTGCTAAATGAGTTGTTGACCAGCCAGAGGGCGCGCAGGTTTCTCTGGTCAACGAAGACGTCCCCGAGGAGCTTCTTCAGCTGAATGTGATTGATATGAAGCGACTGCAGCGTGGCTAGATTCCGGAATATTTCTGCAGGAAGTTCGCCGCCAATGTCGTTGTTACTGATGTCGAGAGTTTTCAGCGAGCTTAGTCCGTCAAAAGCGCCCTGCGATGAGGGAATTTCATGTCCATCCTGTCCACAGCTTGGTTCAAAATCAGAAAACTCGCCAATGTATTTGTGACGAAGGAGTATACTGTATCGTCAACCATTCAATTGATGAGAACGCAGGAATTCAGCACTCTAGTCGCCATGCTTGGGGACATTTCACTTTGGTGAAAACTGTTTTGAAGTGGCATTGGAAAAGCCTCGTGGAAGTGGAGCGACATGACCTGGCTACAGCCGGTGTCTTTGGTCCACTGCATTATTCAGAACTCAGTTCCTCATTGGAGGACACTACAGCCGCTGTCTTCAAGGCATGCAACTCTTGCTGAAACGTTTTCAGCGTCTACTCAAAGAATTATTTGCCGAGAGAGGTGTTGAGCGATATTCACAAGAGCTTGCTATCCTGACGATCTCAAATCAAGTGTTACGAAGAAGAACGTCACTGACAGTCAGAAGTTGATGGCCAATCTTACTGCAACTGCATCCACCAATTATTCGAAGATCTGAATAGGTTTAATCGCAACACGGTCTGCTGTGAATGAGAACTTCAGATCTGGGCTCAGTTTCCCCGCATGATGGCTGTGGTGCATGATCTTGTTGAGAGCAGATGCGTGAGGGGATATGGAAACTTCATCTTGAATGCCGTCCCAACGTGCTCTTATACCTATTCGCCGCCTTTGACTCCCAACTATCTTCGCTGGTGGCTGTCTGTCTACTGAAGACATGCGGCGTTTACCTCAAACTGCACCATCAGTGCATGTGAACTTCTCAATGGGAACTTTTCCATCCAGGAGAACGCGCGTCGCTTCACTGCAGTCGTGGTGACAGAAAGCTTGAGCAAAGTATAACCTATCATCTAAATGCAGTGACGAATCATCGGGCATGCCAAGCAGAACAGTACGTTGCTCAATGGGACTTGATATACAACATGAAATGATGGCAGTAAAGAATCTGCATCGGAGATATGCTTGATGTGATGGAGAGGAACACACGATCTTTAACCACCACGAGTCATGCCAAGCTACTACAGTTCGCAAAGGAGTCCATATCTAAGCAATGGTAAAATTCATTAAAGAGAAAGGCTCCCCATGTCTCTAGGGCTTTCCATGGCTTGGCGCATAATTTCGTGACAAAGGAGATCATGGCAAAAGAGATCAAAAATGACATACTGAGTGCCTTCGCAAAAGGAGGAAGTACTTGACATTTCGACGTCGAAAATGTTCGTACAGAAAACACAAACTTAGTGAAAGTATTTATCGAGCGAACCTGGAAACAATGAAAATAAATCGAACAAGCCACAGAAGACCATCAAAAAAGCAGTGAAGGAGATGAAGTGTTGTAGGAGAATGATTGAAATTGCCGTGATTCGTGGCCGCCTCACCAGCGGACCTCTTGTAAATATAATTTTGCACCTTCACCTCTCCTGTTCAATGAGGACGGGACGATGGTCAGCCCAGGGAGAACCTGTTTGAATTAAGAGTTGGAGCTAATCTCACCTGAGGACTATGACTATAGACATCGGAAGAACACTTCATATGTCATAGACATAATTGGCCACAGTTCGTAAGGTTCGTGTGACTAGCTCTCCAGCTTCAAGGATCTCCTCTTAGGATTTGTATCTATTTCGGATGTTATACCATCAGTTCGGGCGATGTGAATGTGTTCGACATGTACTCAGATAAACCCTCCAGTGAAGGATAGTGAGAGAAAGGGCGCACTGAAACTGTACCAATAGAGTACAGTTTAATTGAACCAGAGACACCTCTGCCAGAGGAGATGTAGAGATCTGGCCGTCAAACATGAATAAGCTTCTTCTCGAGAAGCTAATCTACTGCCATCTTCGTTCAAATACTTCAGAAACATGACAATATTCCACTGTACTCGGACAAGTGCCCAAAGAAGACGAGGATTGGCAGTGCATCATGTCCATCAAGGCCTGGAAAAAGCATTGCACACCTTAAATTGTCAATTTGAAGAAGCTGACCTCCGAATACTCACCACGTCTTGACTCTCTCAATGCAGGACATAAAGTGTTTGTTGTAATCTCCAACGATAGCAGATATTATTGTTGCTTTGCTCTACTACTGCCCGTCTTTTACCAACACAAACCTTGAGTCGCTGTGGGTGCGAGCTGGAATGGGAGATACAACTCGATATATACCCTTCATACCCTGTTCCAGCGCCTGGGTCAATCGGCTTCTGTGCAGCTACTGCGGCTATACACAGTCTTACAAGGTGTGACATAACCAGCAAAATTGGTACAAAAAAACAGCTCTACAAGCGAGCCTGAAAATTTGCTGAAACACTTCGGGGAATCACCAACCTCTCTCCAGCCATGACGCGTAACGCCGAGCATTACTTAGTGAAGGTACTGAAAGAGGTAGCAATGCTAAGTGTTTCTCTGAATATTGAGGCAGAGGTTTCCACTTCAGCAAAGAGGGTTTCTCTCACAGCTACCACCGACTAGTCAGGGACTCCTGCCTCATATCAAGCGTGCATTCTACCAATGCCTACACAATCAACCATGCCTTAGAGTGCCACCTCAACCCTGAAACGTTGAGACACTGAAGCAGAGGATTGTGGCTATGTGAACGACCAAGAACAGCTGGTACCGCGCAACAAATGTGAAAACCCTCGAGCCTCATTGGTCAGTCTCCCTGTTCATGTGCTAAGTGTTCAAGGTTAACTTGCCCATGTAGAAAGGCTGGGGTGAAATGTGGTAAAATTTGTAAGTGCAGGAAACATTACCACATGATTGTAAAAACCCAATTGTTTGATAGGATTAGTTGGGTTCTGCTATGTTGTCTAGCATGCTCGTTCAGTTTGTTCTTGTCTCAAGTTCGTTAAGGTAGATACATTGTATGTATTTATACTGAGTATGGTAACAAGGAATATTTTAGACTAGTTTATACCTAGGCATTATTTTTCACTAAAGCGTCCACCTGTACAGTTCTATGATGCATGTATATCCTTCAATCATCTTTCTATGGGACAATTCGTGTCTTAATTATCGCTTTTGGCAGACATCTTATACTTCTTCTAATTAGGTGAACTCCAAAATGTATAATAATGGTGTCAATCAATTCGCTTGGTGTCAAAAAACGTTGCCACAAAATCAACCTCCTATGTCACTTACTTACGGAGTTATCATCACTTGACGACATTCGCAAAAGGCGCTATTTTGGGGTAAGGTTGACCCTTAGTTACAATAGCCCCCTGTGCATCATATAGAGCAGGGAAGCATCATTTTGAACGTTGGGTCACTTAGAGCACTTTAATAAGGAAACTATTAGCAATTTTGGTAGCGTCTAGCTACATATTGGGTGAGTGAGAAGCAATCATACTTAGAGCTACTTTCAAAGTGAACGCGATTTTAGCTATTTTTTGGCTAAAATTGAGCAAAATGTAGCCATTTCGTTACATGAAACAGTTTATGGCAACAAATCATGCTAGAAAGTTTATTAGTAATACTCATTCAATGTAATTCAGTGCAACTTGAAAGTTTTATGGTTGCTTAATAAATATTTATGCTCTGAAACTTCAATATTGTAACTTTTTCACTTTGGCGCCTAACGAAAATCACATAATTAGCGGTACAGAAAAAACGTACTTGACCCAGAAGTGTTACCCAAACTTTTTTAAGAGTCTTACCATACGGAATGAGAAAATATAATGTTTTGCTCTAAAGAGTCATGTACACGAACACCCCCCAGAGCCTAGACTATATTCTTTGTCTCTTGTATATGTGTAAATTGTATGTTTTTCAATGTATTTCGGATTTCTAACTAAATTTCTTAAACTGTTTTTAACTTCCGTTTTGCTGCGCGTAGAAAATGGTTGCCTTTTTACGCATATGAAATTATATACGAAATTATATATTATTGATTTAATTATATATATATATATATATATATATATATATATATATATGCGTGGCCGTGCGTGCGTGCGTGCGCGTGCGTGTGTAATAAGCTGCTGCTTCCTTGATTTCTTCTAGCACTGATCCATTCATAGACGGCGCTCTGTGACGACGCCGTTGGTTATTGCCTGAACGGCGGCATGTGCATAGACACATACCTCTGTGTCCCAT